ATACAGTACAGTACAAGTACTTCTGGGTCTCTGTGTTTCATTCAAGCTCGGCTCTGTGTGTGTGTGTGGCACGAGCGCATTTTGTGAGTGCGCGAGTGGTAACGTGGAATGTTGTTGTTAGCATGTGGTTAGCTAGCTATGCTAACGGATATAAAGAGCTGTTTCTACACCAAGGTGGAGGAGAGTCCTCTCCTGTCAGACTGAGAGGATCTTATAACGTCAGCTCAGTGAGGTAAGGACTCTCTAAGTGTTTAGATAGTTAACTTTATTGTAGGTTATCTCGGTGCCAAACGGTTTGGTCACCATGTAAACAAGTATTTGCGAGGAACACACCTTTATATGGTGGCAAGGCCCCGGGGGTGGATGAGATCCGCCCAGAAATGCTGAAGGCTCTGGGTGTTGAGGGACTGTCATGGTTGACACGTCTCATCAACGTTGCGTGGAAGTCGGAAACAGTACCGAAGGAGTGGCAGACCGGGGTGGTGGTTCCCCTTTTCAAAAAGGGGGATCAGAGGGTGTGTGCCAATTACAGAGGCATCACACTACTCAGCCTCCCCGGGAAAGTTTACTCTAAGGTACTCGAAAGGAGGGTCAGGCCGATTGTCGAACCTCAGATTGAGGAGGAACAATGCGGATTCCGTCCTGGTCGTGGAACGACGGATCAGCTTTTTACTCTCGCAAGGATCCTGGAGGGAGCCTGGGAGTACACTTATCCGGTCTACATGTGTGTTGTAGACTTGGAGAAGGCGTATGACCGAGTTCCCAGGGAGTTACTGTGGGAGGTGCTGCAGGAGTATGGGGTGAGGGGGTCTCTACTCAGGGCAATCCAATCTCCGTACTCCCAAAGCGAGAGCTGTGTCCGGGTCCTCTGCAGTAAGTTGGACCCATTTCCGTGGAGGGTTGGCCTCCGCCAGGGCTGCGCTTTGTCACCAATCCTGTTTGTAATATTCATGGATTGGATTTCGAGGCGTTGTCGTGGGGGAGGGGGTCTGTAGGTCGGTGGACTAAGGATTAGACCACTGCTTTTTGCAGATGCTGTGGTTCTAATGGCTTCATCGGTCTGCGACCTTCTGCACTCACTGGATCGGTTCGCAACCGAGTGTGAAGCGGCTGGGATGAGGATCAGCACCTCCAAATCTGAGGCCATGGTTCTCAGCAGGAAACCGATGGACTGTCCACTCCAAGTAGGGAATGAGTCCTTACCCCAAGTGAAGGAGTTCAAGTATCTCGGGGTCTTGTTCTCGAGTGAGGGAACAATGGAGCGTGAGATGGGCCGGAGAATCGGAGCAGCGGGAGCGGTACTGCAGTCGCTTTACCGCACCGTTGTGACGAAAAGGGAGCTGAGCCAGAAGGCAAAGCTCTCTGTCTGCCGGGCCATTTTCGTTCCTACCCTCACCTATGGTCATGAAGGATGGGTCATGACCGAAAGAACGAGATCGCGGATACAAGCGGCCGAGATGGGTTTTCTCCGCAGGGTGGCTGGTGTCTCCCTTAGGGATAAGGTGAGAAGTTTGGTCATCCGGGAGGGACTCGGAGTTGAACCGCTCCTCCTTCGCGTCGAAAGGAGCCAGTTGAGGTGGTTCGGGCACCTAGTTAGGATGCCACCTGCGCGCCTCCCTAGGGAGGTGTTCCAGGCACGTCCAGCTGGGAAGAGACCAAGGGGTAGACCTAGGACCAGGTGGATGATATATATCTCTTCGCTGGCCTGGGAGCGCCTTGGGATCCCCCAGTCAGAGCTGGTTGATGTGGCCAGGGAAAAGAAAGTTTGGGGCTCTCTGCTGGAACTGCTACCCCCGCGCCCCGACCACGGATAAGCGGGAGAAGATGGATGGATGGACACCTTTGTATGATCATTATAGTTATTAAAAAATAAGAGAATAAATGAAAAAAAGGTATGAAATACTATAGGACAGTAACACAAGAATACAGTTTAAAAGAGGAGTGATTAGTAAAATATCCATAAAGAAATTAAGTACATCTGTTAACAGTTCTGTTTTATATGGGTGTTGAGAGATGTAGGCTATCCATAGATCTCTTAATTTTGCTCTCAAAGTGCACCAGATTGATGCTTTTAACTTCAATATTTTAAAAAAAAATTCCCGGGGGAGCATGCCCCCAGACCCTCCTAGAGGAGGTTAGGTCCACCCCCACCTAAAACATGTTCACATGGACAGGATACTAAATACATTTGCACACTTTTTATATGTTGGCCTATGTCCATATGTTTCTGTTTTGGTGGTCGTGCCACAACCGTGCATGTATGCACAAGTCATAGGTGCGCTATACAATAGCACTACACCCCTGCAATGGGTGTGAAAGACTATAGACTTTACAGCATGTTTTTTTTTAATTGAAGTTGCGTTGGTGTTTGTGTGTTGGTTGTTGACGGCAGTGTGTGCCCCCCCCCCCCGTGGTAAATGATTGCCCCCCCATTCGATTTGTTCTAGAGCCGACCCTGATGTGGAGTCTCCGTGCTCCGTGCGATATCGCAAATTAAGGCTCGTTATGCACGATAGTTAAGTGAGTTGGCACGCGACTCAATGCTTTGGAACTAGATACGCTAGTTCAAGTTCCATAAATGTGTTATAAATGTTGTAAGCTGTAGAATATGTGGTTAGGTGTCAATGTGTTGGCTAAATGCGAGGTGTTTTACTGCTACCTGTTATGCTAATTGCTTCGCTAACTCGATGACCGGTGTTCCGGATTAACTTGTTTCCCGATCAACTTGTTTCCCGATCAACTCGTTTCCCGATCAACTCGTTTCCGTGGGGTGCGTGGCTTTCGACTGAAATACACATTTCGATCGCTTTCTTCTGTCGTTTACATACATCTTTTGGTATATTTGGCTTCTTAGGAACACGTTGATGCACATCCAGTACCAGTGTGTGAGGTTGTGATTACGATGGCGATATCCGGACGCGAACAGCGAGGACTACAACAAGACAAACGAGTTGCTCGAATAAATCATTTAAACCAGCTATTGTTGCCAGACTTATTATGGAATATTGTTGTTAATGTCCAAGTCCATCTGTGTATACCTTCAGACAGCCTCCAAGTGAAGCACACGGTGTTTACTCACAGTTTGAAAGTAGCGTGGAGAAGTTTTCATCTGTGTTAAACTGTGATCCTCCCACGGAACTGGGACCCGCCCAGGTCAAAATGTGACCCGCCCAGGTTAAAATGTGACCCGCCCAGGTTAAAATGTGTTACGATTTCTGTGGCTATCTACCAGCGATCATGTTTAATATGAGTACTAATAAAGGACTGGCTTACCTAAAGCCAGTTGAGTAGCACTTGAAATGTTTGGCTCTATGAAACCTGATGTACTTATATGATTCTGTTTTCTTCAAGGTTGTGTCTTCCTGGTCGAATGTACTTATTGTAAGTCGCTTTGGACAAAAGCGTCAGCTAAATGCAATGTAATGTAATGTAATGAAAGAATACCCACACATGTATCCCTTATAAAAACGGTATTGTGCAGCACTCATCCAGATAAGATGTGACTGTTACCTCGTTTTGCAAAGATAGCAGCAGAAATGTCATTGGGGATATTTAGACTTTAAAATGCTGCTTGGTCATGAATGTTGGTGTCGGCAAACAATATTACGAATCCTCTATTCAAACAACATATTCAATGTGCATCGACATGAAAATAACAAAAAAGTTCATGCTGGACTCAAACCCGAGTCCCAACAGTAAAAATCAATCATGCCCTGCGCGTTATGAGTGCGCCACGAATCTTCACGTCCTAACAGATCACCAGAGCTCATTTTGTTACATTAACATTGTCAACAAGTTCTAGAAAAATGCAACCCGACATCATATTGATAATAATATATGATACAAATGTAAGACTGACAACAATAATAGTTAGTAAAGGATTTATTGACGTGAATGTTTTGAACAGTGAACACTTAACACAGAAATCGTAACAGTTTAACCTGGGCGGGTCACAGTTGAATCTAGGCGGGTCACATTTTAACCTGGGTGGATCCCAGTTCCCTGGGAGGATCAGTTTAACACAGATGAAGACTTCTCCATTCAACACGTCCTAACAGATCACCAGAGAACAATAAATCAAGTCGCTGTGTTGATGCCTGTTACATCACATTACATTACATTGCATTTAGCTGACGCTTTTATCCAAAGCGATTTACAATAAGTATTCACTGTTCAAAACATTCACATCAATACATCCTTTACTAACTATTATTGTTGTCAGTCTTACATTTGTATCATATATTATTATCAATATGATGTCGGGTTGCATTTTTCTAGAACTTGTTGACAATGTTAATGTAACAAAATGAGCTCTGGTGATCTGTTAGGACGTGAAGATTCGTGGCGCACTCATAACGCGCAGGCCATGATTGATTTTTACTGTTGGGACTCGGGTTTGAGTCCAGCATGAACTTTGTTGTTATTTTCATGTCGATGCACATTGAATATGTTGTTTGAATAGAGGATTCGTAATATTGTTTGCCGACACCAACATTCACGACCAAGCAGCATTTTAAAGTCTAAATATCCCCAATGACATTTCTGCTGCTATCTTTGCAAAACGAGGTAACAGTCACATCTTATCTGGATGAGTGCTGCACAATAAGGGATACATGTGTGGGTAGTCTTTCATATTAAACATGATCGCTGGTAGATAGCCACAGAAATCGTAACACATTTGAACCTGGGCGGGTCACATTTTAACCTGGGCGGGTCCCAGTTCCGTGGGAGGATCACAGTTTAACACAGATGAAAACTTCTCCACGCTGCTTTCAAACTGAGTAAACACTGTGTGCTTCACTTGGAGGCTGTCTGAAGGTATACACAGATGGACTTGGACATTAACAACAATATTCCGTAATAAGTCTGGCAACAATAGCTGGTTTAAATGATTTATTCGAGCAACTCGTTTGTCTTGTTGTAGTCCTCGCTGTTCGCGTCCGTATATCGCCATCGTAATCACAACCTCACACATCAACGCATTAACGTGTTCCTAAGAAGCCAAATATACCAAAAGATGTTTGTAATCGACAGAAGAAAGCGATCGAAATGTGTATTTTAGTCGAAAGCCACGCACCCCACGGAAACGAGTTGATCGGGAAACGAGTTGATCGGGAAACAAGTTGATCGGGAAACAAGTTGATCCGGAACACCGGAAGTAGCATGTCTGTACTGTAGCGTTTAACCCCCATAAAAGAAAGTGAACATCACATTATCTGTGAATGCTGTGTTAATGTAAAGAGAGTGCAATGTAGCTGTAGTCGTTTTATATAGCTATTACTCTCTTTACTATTATGGAAGTTTACGAGACACGTTATATTATTCTCTGTCTAGATTATTCTTTATATAAGGTTTGCTGATATGATGTTTTATATTTGAGTGTTGTATGTCTTGTAATAATGGACCAAGAGTCTCTTTAAATAAAGATGATGATGATGATGATGTATTTTGTTTATGCATGCATATGTTATACTTCATTCATTGTATTTTGTTATTTCTCTTTATACACAATTCCAGTATAGCCCATTAAGCTATTATAGCTCCTTTTTGTCAACACCTTTATATTATTTAATCATGGACACTTGTTCTAATCCGGCCTGTACATCCTTCACCGTGTCATCTGCTCCATCTCCGTCTTTCATATCTTAATCTCTGTAAAGCAGGGGTGTCAAACTCAAGGCCTGGGGGCCAAATCCGGCCCGTGACTTCATTTTCTGTGGCCCCACAAGAGCTTGCAAAGAATATAATATGTTTATTATACGGTTACATGCCGATTTACAGAAGCACGTTGCCCATAAACTACATGTCCCACAATGCATCTGAAATTGTACTTTTTTCTCAGACGTGCCAATTTGACCAACTGCTATTCTGGCTTGTATTTTTCCAACCATCCTTATCATCATATAGTCCTATTTAGATATTTTTTTTAATGAACTGTACAAGGTTGTGTCTGATTGAAGTGAGGTAGGATGTGATCGAGGGTTAGTATTTGGGAATAAAGAAGGAGTAGCCTGTCTCTGTTTGAAATGAATATAATGTTTTATATTTTTAATTGACTCTACTCATCTTATTTTACAGAAACCAAGCCAGGAAGTGGTCTGTGCAAACCAGGAACCATTGCTCTGTTTGGTAACGTGGTCTACAGCGGGTTGCTCAACGAGCACTTCTGGCACTTCGGGGTTCCCCTCGTCACTAGACTGGTCAGTTCCTGCTTTTTCTATTTTATATCTCTTTGTCCTTCTACATTACTTGAATGATTGCTTTTGCTTTGTATCCTTGTTTTAGCTGCTGGCTTGATTACTCCTTGTGACTCTTTGTGTGACCCTCATGGGTTGATCGGTGATGTGGTCGCTCAAGATGTTCCAGTTTTGTTGGTGGTTGATGGAAATGTAATGGAGTGGTGCAGTGATGATGTATGTTTGTAGGCCGACCAGGAAGTTAGCATCGCATGAGCTCCCTTGACAAAAAGCAATGGGATTTTATATTGTTTTTTGGAATATTGCAAAAATATAAGATTTGTGACAAACATATAGATACTTACACTATAAAGGAACTACATCACGGTCGCAAGACTCAACGTAATCGAAGCTAAGCTAAATCTGGCTTATGTTCAGAATGATGCTGTTTAGTAGTCTCATTTAATCACTTGTTAGCAATCGTCATTTAGAAGCACATACAAAGAAACTTCGGACCTTTACAGGTGGGGTATTTACTGAAGTATTTTATGTCTTAGAACAAATCTTCTAAGCTTGTATTAATTACAGACCTTATTTAAAGCATATGAACAAAAACATGTTCAAAAACAGTGGACTTCCAGATAGGGAGTCTGAAGTTGTGAGATGCTAACTCATTTCTGGGTTTAAGGACTCATTCCTGCACCTCTCTATTGTCCAGGTTGTGTAGTAGTTGGTAGTTGAAATGTGGATGTTTCTTCAGGTTGTTGCTGGAGATAAATAAGCCTTCACATTGAAGGCTGTGTGTCTGCTTATACAGTTGTTGTTTTTACCCCAGGACCAGCCCTATGCATAATTGATGGGACTCTAGCATTAACACAAACTAATGCAATATTAGTGGTATTTCAATTAACTTTGAATTAGGCTGTAATCTCTTCTATGTCACTTGCTGATTGCGTGCCTCTGTTTTATTGAACTGCTGATAAATGTTATATTTGATAGATATCGATATTGTCTTCCCATCAGGATACAGCGGAGGATATTTGCTGGCTCAGTTTGATCACTCGCCCGTGAGCCTGAGAGACATGAACACACCAGATTTGTCTACTTGCTTATTGCCTCTTTTGAAGATATTCTAAATTCAGATAATTTATCACGGTTTAGAAATGGTAAACCACTGCTGTCAAATCTTGAAGAGCAAGATGGTCTACTGGGAAATGTACAATATTTAAAGGGAGTATACAGCAGCTGATCAAAAAAATATGATTAGCTACATCTGCCATGTTTTATTTACAGGCATGCTGGCACACATGCACACACTGCACACACACACACACACACACACACACACACACACACACACACACACACACACACACACACACACACACACACACACACACACACACGCATATACACACACTATTTGAAATGTGTCAGAGAAGAGCTTGCATGGAGTTGGGGGAAGTTTACAACTCTAGAAGAAGGTGGTAAAGTGCTGGCATTTTCATTAACAAACATGTCAGTTTTTTCATTGATGATGATGATGATGATTATTTGTACCACTACCTCAGAGGAGACATGATGGCTAATTCTCAGATTCATATTTGTTTGTAGTGTCTCTACTGTGACATGTCTCCATGCTTTAATGTTCAAAAAGCTCTTTAATGTCCTCATACTACCTGTGCTGCAGCACCTCTTTTCACCCTCTGTCTGAAACCAGAGCCAGTCTGCTCTGATTGGTTAGCTGGCCTTCTCTGTTGTGATTGGTCAACCACTTAGAGATGTCTCAGAAATGTCGCAAACCCTTTGTACGTACTGTTAAATACAGTATGCATGAAATAGGGCCTTACTACTTTATCCTTACCTGCTCATATTTCTGCCGTGTGATTGGTCAAAATAAAAGCATTCTGCTGTCACCCTTTTTTCTTTCTTTTTTTTGCAAAACTGCATTTGACTTATGTATTGGGACAAAATAAATATGTTTTCTGGCAAACTATAGAGTCTGATAGTATTGGTATTGTAACGCAGAGGGAATGTCTACCATGTGACCGCAGTTTGGAAGCTGAAGCAGAAACACATATCCTATTGTCTGATGGTGGATGGAACGTTTTTATGCGAGGCGAGCATTGTGCATGGTGTTGATAGTATCTGTTGGAAAATGTGTCTTGCGCAAAATTGTTCAAATCAACATTTTCACTTAGGTCTGGGGCCTCATTTATAACGCAGTGCGTAGGATTCACGTGGGAAGGTTGCTTACGTAGGCTAGTAGAAATCCAAAAAATAGGTACAGACATTTTCCGACATTTTCCGATTCACCAAACATTGCGTACCGGCGAGGAAAGTGCGTACAGCACTTCCTACCCCGGTTTCCCTTTATAAATCACAATCGACTCGAAATGCGATGCAGCTTTTGCGGGGTTCACGTAACGCCCATATTTGCCTATAATTAGTCAAAGAAACGCCCATTCATTCATTCATTCTGACTGACTTTATGAAGAAGATCGCAGGAAATGACGACAGAACAGCTAAAAAATACACCTCACACCGTGTCAGATTCTGGTTATTTTGGGGAGGTGGAGATAAATCATATTGTTTGGTGGATGCAGTTTGAACCAGAGTAGCAGCATGGAGGTCGGATCGTCACCAAAATAAATAAATAAGTGGTCCGAAAAAGGTTCATGACAAAAAAAATACACATAGCCTTCCTCAGGCAGTTTGTTTGTACCGGGGGCAGGAGCCACCCCCTTGATGAGAGACTGTAAGAAGTGAACGGGGAATCCCTCCGGAGTGGAGTCATGACGACTGGATCTGAATTATGTTTTCGTATTTGGTGGTTTGTGTCCCAGCTGTCGATCAGCTGTGCGCAGCGTCTCCACTGCAGCAACTCTATATCCACCAGTTAAAGGAAATACAACTAATGTGTTGTGTTATATTAGCTGTACAATTGACCACATATGGTGTTCTTAGCTTCCATACCTCCTGTGTTTTATGAGCAACTTATCAAGTCTTAGCAAACGGCATAAAACATGATTAAACATGGTAGTATATAAAACCATGCTCGTACAACCTATAGAAATGCAAAACGGCGTCAGTTTAGACGTAATTCTGTCCTCCTGCTTACCGCATCATTTATGAGAAAACATTTCATAACATTAACACAACATATTCGAGGTGGTTTTAAATAACATATCCGTATTTATTTATTTCTCCAAGTTATGTTTTTGTGTGCACTGAGGAGTCTCAAACAGGCGTTTGTTTAATCATTTTAAGATTGGCTTTAATCAATGTTTGAAAATGAATTCTTCATATATGATAAATGAGAGGTAACATTTTATTTATGGTATTATTTCCACATATTTCTCTCCATTCTTCCTTCTGCCAACGGTGTCGCAGTTTCTCGTCTCTCCCGTTGTTGTGCTTAGTGCGTACGCATGGGTTAGAGTTTGCGTGGAGGACCGCACATTTTCCCGTCAAGTTAGTATTTTAGAAATCGCAAACATTGCGTAGAAACTGGCGTACGCCATCTTTTGAGTGTATATCCCTTTATAAATGAGGCCCCTGGTCTTCTTAACAAGTAAAGTGAACCTTTGCCACGTTTGTTGACACCGTACATTGGCGGCTGCCCAAAAATGTGTATAATTGAAACACTAAACCCTTAAGAGTTGCAAACAGGAAGGTTAGGGAAAAGTTACTCAGTTATCTTTGGAGGGAATAAAGTTGCTCATATCCCGCTACACTCAAGTAGTTTAATTGTACTTGTAACACAGTATTTCTACTGTGCAATTTTTAGTCATGTGAAATATTGGAATACTTCTTCCACCGCCGAAAAAAAGTTATATTAAGTCCTCTGTGTCTCTGACTAAGCTTTGTCAAGTCTGAGAATATAACCTTGATGATGTGGTCTGGGGCTTAGAGCCTACACATTTACAAGAGGAAGTCTGTGGGGTTTAAGAAAGAAACTCGAGTTGCGTTTAGGCAAAGGTAGGATCCAGCGTCTCAGCCTCTCCTGACTTCAATTTGATTATTATTTGCATTTATATATTATTAATTTCTTCTTTTAAATGTTTCTTGAGAACCCCAAACTTACAACAGTGAATGAGAAATCCTTAAAAAAACGATAGCACAATATACATTATTATGTAAAATCTACATCCCGCCTCCAAGTCTCTATGAAAGTCCTGTCTGTTATTGGATATAATATAAGTATGTATTATGTATAATAGGAGTCAGTCGTTTTTTCTTTCTAATAAGGCGCTGACTTGTCTCTTTATCTAAGGACATTTGACTAATGTGTTAATTGAGCGAATTGAAAGTGAACAGTGAGAGAGCCGGAGACAGAGAGACAGCTGCTCAGCACTCGCTCCACAGAGTTTAATGTGCACCCAGAATTGATGATGAAGGCAATTGCCCTAAAATGAGCGTGAATGAAGTATGTGAATGTGTGTATGCAGAATATATAACAAGAGGTCATTCACATGTAGTGCTCTTACCTTTCATTCACTTCATATTCATCACGTTTCATCCTTACCATTAGCAGGCTAAGGCACATGTTCATGTTTGCAGAGCGTGTGATGTTCAGAGGACTTCCTCTACTATCTGCTGCTCATCTACCAGTGTAGCCATGCAGAGGAACACAAGGCCGCAGTTAGGCCTGGAGCAGCGTGCTCAGATCCCTTCCCCCTTTTCCAGCTCATCATATCAATGTGCATAGACAACTACTGTCCCATGCAATGAAAACCAAATGAGAAATTGAAGGTGCTTCGACAATTTCCCTTGAGTGTAGCTAAATGAGCGCAAGCTACATTTCTTACCTTTTTACAGACATCAAGATAGACAAATCAGAGGTAGCATTCATGCTGTTGGCAATGTTGATAGCCGATTGAGAACATTTAAATGACTTTTTATCAAATTACATTAGATTTAGCTGACGCTTTTATTTAATAGCAACTTACAATAAGTGCATTCAACCATGTAGCTACAAGCTCAAAAAGAAAGAATCCCGCAGGAACATTAGCTTTCAATGA